GTTTCATTTCAGTTAGTTTTAATTGATATACATATTAGTAGCCACATGGGACTAGGGTCTATCACACTGAACTTCTCAGTTCTAGAGATAAGTGAAAAGCAGTATTTGAGAATTAGGAACTTTCTAGAGGAAAGAAGAGCAATAATACCACAAGAACTGAGAAACTGCTGTTTCTAAATGATGTTCAGTAAATTAGGAATTTAAATGAATTAAATAAAAGGTCTCTAGGAAAGTACTATAAAGCCTTTTGTGTCAGCCGGTGTCTATTTTCTGCTGGTTATTTTGGAGATGGAGTCTAGTAAAGTTTTCTTCTTAGGATGGCCATGATCTTCCATATCTCAGCCTCCCAAGTAGCTAAAATTACAAGTGAGAATCACCAGTACCAAGCTTTATGTGCTTATTTCTGTGGTTTAATAAGCAGTCTGTCTACAAACCTACAGCCAGTATTATACTCAATGGTGAAAAACTAAAGCCATTTCCTCTTAACTCAGGGACAAGACAAGGATGCCCACTCTCTCTTCAATCTAGTATTAGAATGCCTAGCTACAGCAATAAGACAAGATGCAGACATAAAGGGGATCCAAATAGGGAAAGAAGAAATAAAACTCTCCCTCTTTGCAGATGACATGATCTTGTATTTAAAGAATCCCATAGACTCCACTCCCAAATTACTCAAGCTGATTCAAAACTTTGGCAAAGTAGCAGGTTATAAAATTAACCCCCAAAAATCAATGGCTTTTCTGTATGCCAACAATGAGAAAAGTGTGGCTGAAATTAGGAAAGCAACTCCATTTGTAATAGCCCCACAAAAAATAAAATACCTAGGAATTAACTTAACTAAAGAAGTGAAGGACCTCTATGATGAAAACTTTAAAATCTTGAAAAAGGAAATCAACACAGAACTTAAAAAATGGCAAAACCTCCCATGCTCCTGGATTGGAAAGATTAACATCGTGAAAATGGCAATACTTCCCAAGGCTATCTACAAATTCAACGCAATACCTATCCAAATTCCACCCTCATTCTTCAAGGAAATAGAAGAGGCAATCCAAAAATTCATATGGAACAATAAAAGACCCCGAATAGCAAAAACGCTCCTCAACGGAAAGAACACTGCTGGAGGAATATCAATACCAAATTTCAAACTCTACTATAAAGCCATAGTAATCAAAACAGCTTGGTATTGGCATAAGAACAGACCTCAGGACCAATGGAATAGAATTGAAAACCCAGAAATGAACCTACAGACCGATAGCCATCTAATCTTCGATAAGGGAGCTAAAACAATAGAATGGAAGACAGACAGCCTCTTCAGTAAATGGTGCTGGCAAAACTGGTTAACTACATGTAGAAAACTAAAGCTAGATCCTTATATATCACCCTGCACCAGAATCAACTCCAAATGGATCAAAGACCTTGAACTCAAAGCAGACACTCTGAAAACATTACAGGATGGAATAGGAGAAACCCTGGGTCTCCTTGGCTCAGGCCGAAATTTTCTGAATAGAGACCCGGAAACACAACAAATCAAAGAAAGGTTGGACAAATGGGATTGTATAAGGTTGCAGAGCTTCTGCAGGGCAAATGACATAGCTAGCAAGATCAATAGAAAGCCCACGGACTGGGAGAAGATCTTTACTAGCAATACAACGGACAAGGGTCTCATATCTAAAATATACCTGGAACTCAAAAAATTAAACCACCCAACAACAAACCCTCAAAGAAACAACTGCCCAATAAGTAAGTGGGCGAAAGACTTAAAGAGAAGCTTCTCTGAAGAAGAAAGAAGGATGGCCAATAGACACATGAAGAAATGTTCAACATCCCTAGCCATAAAAGAAATGCAAATCAAAACAGCATTGAGATATCACATCACTCCAGTTAGAACAGCAAAAATCAAGAACTCTAACAACAACAGATGCTGGAGGGGATGTGGACAGAAAGGAACCTTACTTCATTGTTGGTGGGAAGGTAAACTTGTTCAACCACTTTGGAAAGCAGTATGGAGGTTCCTCAAAAGACTCCACATAGAGCTCCCCAATGACCCAGCAATCCCACTTTTGGGCATTTACCCAAATGATTACAAACAAGGCCACACTAAAGCTACCAGCACAACTATGTTTATTGCAGCATTATTTACCATAGCTAAGATATGGAACCAACCCAGATGTCCCTCAGTAGATGAATGGATCAAGAAGATGTGGTATATATACACAATGGAATCCTATGCCTCCATCAGAAAGAATGACATTTCCCCATTTGTTAGGAAATGGAAAGGCTTGGAAAAAATTATATTAAGTGAAGTAAGCCAGGCCCAAAGAAACATAGGTCCCATGGTTTCCCTTATTTGCAATATCTAGTATAGGTATGAGTCAAGCGGAAAAAGTCAGAGAATGTGATGTTAGGAAAACGAACCCTCAAATATGTATTTTAATGTTTTTGTTTCTTTCATGCATGTGTTTCTAACGCATTTATAAGATTATTTCTTTGTTGCTTTGTATGTCCCTCCCCCACAGTGTAACCCCCGCTTTCACTATATTTGATGTCAGTATAACATGTGGAGGAGACGGGGACAAACAAGTCGTTTAAGGATTCAGGTGGACCTGTTGCAACAATGAGAAGTACAAAATGTCATGTCAAAACCAGCTTTACAATGTCGGTGGGGGGGGGGAGGGGGGTATGATTGGGTGGGGGGGAGGGGGGAGGGTGGGAAGGGAGGTGAAGGGTAAACAAAGGAGGAGGCTGCAATGCTTGGTAAGAAATGTATGCATTATCCTGCCCATGTAATTGTAACCCCTCTGTACAGTATGTTCTCAAATAAAATTAAATTAAATTAAAAAAAAAAAAGAAAAAAGAAATGTACTCATTATCTTGCCCATGTAATTGTAACCCCTCTGTACAGTGCTTTCACAAAAAAAAAAAAGAATAAATACAACATAAAAAAAAAAAAATAAGCAGTCTGTCTAGAAACAGGCAGATCTGTACTTTACAACTGGTTACAGTTTCTGTTTGTTTATAACAACTTTGGCATAGTTTCTGTATCTTCATGGTACATTTATTTATTTGATGACATACTGTAACTCATCACATATTTTCAGAAAGGCTTTGCAAAAATACTCTTGTTGGTACTGGTCATTCTAGGCAGCTCCAATAGCTCTCTATATCATCCTCAGTCTAGTTACTAGGAATACCTTTCTATTCTGCCCCCCTGTATTGATGTAAATTGGGATTTAGAAGCTGGTTTCTCTCAGAAGACTGACATACAAGCCAAGGAAGTGTAGGGCCCTGACTTCAAACCCCAGTACCACCATTAATTAATTCATTAAGTGCTGATTCATATTTGTAATATGATACCTATTCAGAAAAAAAATGTCCATTCTGGCTAAACTGCAATGCCAATTGGCCATAGACATGAGCATGGAGATAATGAGAAAAAAACACATTTACTAAATCTTGACTGAAATTCATATCTTTAAAAATGCTAGAATCATTCCAAGAGAAGTAGAATTTCAGAAATACTTGAAGCCAGAAGGACAATCAGTATGGTAAAGTATGGTAACTTTTGTGAGCCAACAATTGAAAAGTACTTTCATACATACCTGAGTCCAAGATGGATGGACAAGGTAACATAGCTGAGGAGATGTATAATGAAGCATAAGATTTGGTGGAGGTGTGAGAATGTGTGTAGAATAGTCAGGAAGCAGAGGGAGAAAACAGGGATATGGTGAAGAGGTATGACAGATTTAGAGGGATGTGAGAGGTTAAAATGTTACAAAGTTTACAATAGGGCAAGTAGCTTAAAGAATATTGTGGTAGAGAGCAAGAGAGTGGGGGTAGGTGTAGAGTGTACAGGGATATAGGAACAGTAGGTTATCAGGAGATATGGGAGAACTTTTTTCTCCTGTTATTTTCATCACTCTGTAACGAAGTGCTGTACTACCATGGCTAAAATATTCAAATTGCAGCATATCTGGATATGCAGCAGGGATTTATGCAGTAGGATGTACATACTTAGCATAAAAAGGACAAATATGCATGGATGCACATCCATGAACATCTGTGCTTTTTGTTTCTTTGTGAGATAGTACAAGTAAGTGCTTAATGCTACTCTTATTTAAAATTCTTTAAAACCACACAATATCTATTACATACAACTGCCATTCACAGGTGGTAAAACTTCAAACTGAAGATGTAGCTTATCACGTGTGGAAATACCCTATTTTAAATATATTAAGCTAAATTTTCTTACAAGTTCCTGGAATCAATACTGGGATAGGCCAAGTATTTCAGAACAGGAAACTTTCTTATATATTGGTTCCATTTTACTTTGAGGTCTTAGATGTGGATTGTGGTATAGGACATCATTAGGATAACATCACATTTCTTCTTTGAAACTACAGATAAACAATTAACAAGTCTTTAGTCTGGGGAAAAGAATAGTAGTATTTCCAGAAGCATGATTCTTGTTCCCTGCCAACCAGAATCTCACCAAATCAAGTATGGATAGGAGCTGAATACTGAATCACACACACACAACTACACACAATCCCCTTCCAAGTTTATACTTTTCCTTTGCAAAATAGGCCTGTCATACTTTCTCTGCTTTTTTTATCACATAGAATTATTTCTGAAAGAATCCCATTGATTTTCCAATAAGGATCTTACTCCACAAAATGTGTATCATCTGGTTCATCTTTTTGGGCTTGTTTTCTCACTTCATGATCACTTTTAAGTTTCCATGTTCACTTTGAAGACAAGGATTGGGCTTTAACTAAGGTCAAACTTTAAATATCATCTTACTTTTTGCCTCCAAAATGAATAGCTCTTCTGTATTAATTCTTTTCTGCTCCTCTTTCAATTTGTTTCCCAACACTGAGATCTCCCAAGAAGTTTTTCCTCAATAGCATTCTTCTTGTTCACTCATTCACAATTAAAAAAATATTTAAACTAACTTGCCTCTGAGCATCTGATTTCAGAGAATCTTATTCTCATGTTCTTACCTCTGAATTGTTAAGGTGACATTTGTGAGTTCCTGAAAACCAGCCATCAGTTGAGCATTGGTCAATGTCCACTTTCTGAAGGTTTATATCAACTTTCATAACACCCCTAAAATTGAAAAAAATAGAAAGAAAAATTAATCTGAGCCTTTATAATTTCTAACTTTGTGTTCCATCATGGAAATCAGACAAATCAGCATAATAAATGTACTAAAAATTTCCAAAGTGCTCTCTCATATTTAACTGAAATATATCAAGAAAAGATACAAAGTCAGCAAGTATAAGTTTTACCTAAGCCCCAAAGACAGGAACTCTATATTGTTGATAGTCTTTAGCTCCTCATATAATGCCTAGATGCTCAAGAAATTTGAACCCAAAGCCACCAAAGAAAATCCTGTAACACATGGAGGCTGAACAACACACTGCTGAATCACAAGTGGGTCATGGAAGAGATTAGAAAGGAAATTCAAATGTTCATGATATTTAACAAAAATGAACACAAATTACCAGCTCTTCTGGGACACAGTAAAGGCAGTACTCAGGGGAAAGTTTATAGCTCTGAGTTCCACATCAACAAATTGGAGAGATCTGAAACCAACAATTTAATGAGACATCTGAGCCTCCTTGAAAAAGAGCAGCAAGATAAACCCCAATCCAGTAGATGGAAAGAAATAATTAAAATTAAAGCAGAATTAAATGAATTAGAATCAAAAAAAAACATAGAAAGAATCAACAAAACAAAGAGTTGGTTCTTCGAAAAAATAAATAAAATTGACAGACCCTCAGCAAATCTTATCAGAAAAGGAAGAGAACACACCCAAATAAATAAACTCAGAGATGAGACTATAAACATCACCACAGAAACATCAAAATTCAGAACATTATAAGGGACTACTTCTCAAAACTTTATGCTAATAAGTTTGAGAACTTGGCAGAAATGGACCTTTTCCTAGCAAATATTGACATGCGGAAACTAAATCAAGATGAGTTAAACCATCTTAACAGGCCCATATCAAGCATTGAAATAGAAACAGCAATAAGAGACCTCCCATCTAAGAAAAGCCCAGGACCAGATGGCTTTACAGCAGAATTCTACAAGGCCAAGCAGAGCTCACACCAATACTCCTCCAACTCTTCAACGAAATTGAAAGAGAAAGCTCACTACCGAACACATTCTATGAAGCCATCATAACCCTCATCCCAAAACCAGGCAGGGACTCATCAAAGAAAGAGAACTATAGACCCATTTCTTTGATGAACATTGATGCAAAACTGCTCAACAAAATTCTGGCCAATCGACTTCAACAATTCATCCAAAAAATCATACACCACGATCAAACAGGATTCATTTCAGGGATGCAAAGCTGGTTCAATATACACAAATCAATTAATAAAATTCATCACATCAACAGCAGCAAGGATAAGAACCACGTGGTTATCTCAATAGATGCAGAAAAAGCATTTGACAAGATCCAACACCCCCTTTATAATGAAGGTTCTGGAAAAATTAGGAATCCATGGAACATTCCTCAATACAATAAAGTGTGTATATGACAAACCTACAGCCAGCATTATACTTAATGGTGAAAAACTAAAGCCATTTCCTCTTAACTCAGGAACGAGACAAGGATGTCCGCACTCTCCACTTCTCTTCAATCTAGTATTAGAATGCCTAGCTACAGCAATAAGACAAGATGCAAACATAAAGGGGATCCAAATAGGGGAAGAAGTAAAACTCTCCCACTTTGCAGATGACATGATCTTGTATTTAAAGAATCCCACAGACTTGGCTCTCAAATTACTCAAGCTGCTTCAAAACTTTGGCAAAGTAGCAGGGTATAAAATTAACCCTCAAAAATCAATGGCTTTTCTGTATGCCAGCAATGAGAAAAGTGTGGCTGAAATTAGGAAAGCAACTCCATTTGTAATAGCCCCACAAAAAATAAAATACCTAGGAATTAACTTAACCAAAGAAGTGAAGGACCTCTATGATGAAAACTTTAAAAACTTGAAAAAGGAAATCAAAGCCAAACTTAGAAAGTGGCAAAAACTCCCATGCTTCTGGATAGGAAAGATCAACATCGTGAAAATGGCAATACTTCCCAAGTCTATCTACAAATTCAATGCAATACCTATCAATATTCCAACCTCATTCTTCAAGGAAATAGAAGAGGCAATCCAAAAATTCGTATGGAACAATAAAAGACCCGAATAGCAAAAACGAACCTCAACAGAAAGAACACTGCTGGTGGAATATCAATACCAAATTTCAAACTCTACTACAAAGCCATAGTAATCAAAACAGGTTGGTACTGGCACAAGAACAGACCTCAGGACCAATGGACTAGAATTGAAAACCCAGAAATGAACCCACAGACCTATAGCCATCTAATCTTCGATACGGGAGCCAGAAATATAGAATGGAAGAAAGACAGCCGCTTCAGTAAATGGTGCTGGCAAAATTGGTAAACTACTTGTAGAAAACTAAAGCTAGATCCTTATATATCATCCTGCACCAGAATCAACTCCAAATGGATCAAAGACCTCGGAGTCAAAGCAGACACTCTGAAAACATTACAGGATGGAATAGGAGAAACCCTAGGTCTTGTTGGCACAGGCCAAAATTTTCTTAATAGAGACCCAGAAACACAACAAATCAAAGAAAGGTTGGACAAATGGGATTGCATGAAATTGCAGAGCTTCTGCATGGCAAAGGACATAGCTAGCAAGATCAATAGAAAGCCCACGGATTAGGAGAAGATCTTCACTAGCCAAACAACAGACAAGGGTCTCATATCTAAAATATACCTGGAACTCAAAAAATTAAATCCCCCAACAACAAATCTTCAAAGAAACAACTGACAAATAAATAAGTGGGCTAAAGACTTGAAGAGAACCTTCTCTGAAGAGGAAAGAAGGATGGCCAATAGACACATGAAGACATGCTCAACCTCCCTAGCCATAAAACAAATGCAAATCAAAACAACATTGAGATACCACCTCACCCCAGTTAGAATGGCTAGAATCAAGAACTCTAATAACAACAGATGCTAGAGGGGATGTGGACAGAAGGGAACCCAACTGCATTGCTGGTGGGAGTGTAAACTTGTTCAATCACTTTGGAAAGCAGTATGGAGGTTCCTCAAAAGACTCCACATAGAGCTCCCCTATGACCCAGCAATCCCACTTTTGGGCATTTACCCAAATGTTCACAAACAAGACCACACTAAAGCTACCAGCACAACTATGTTTATTGCAGCCTTATTTACCATAGCTAAGATATGAAACCAACCCAGATGCCCCTCAGTAGATGAATGGATCAAGAAAATGTGGTATATATACACAATGGAATTCTATGCCTCCATCAGAAAGAATGGCATTGCCCCATTTGTTAGGAAATGGAAAGACTTGGAAAAAATTATATTAAGTGAAGTAAGCCAGGCCCAAAGAAACATAGGTCCCATGGTTTCCCTTATTTGCAATAACTAGTATATATCTGAGACAAGCAGAAAAGGAAAGATAAGGTGATGTTAGGGAAATGAACCCTAAGATATATATTCAAATGTTTTTTTCTTTCATGCGATTGTTTCTAACACATTTATAAGGTTTCTTTGTTGCTTTGTATGTCCCTTCCCCACGGTATAACCCCTGCTTTCACTGTATTTGATGTTATAATTTGTGGAGGGGAAGGGAAAAAACAAATCGCTTAAATAGGGATACAGGTGGACCCATTGCAACAATGAGACGTACAAGTCTTATGTCGAAAACGAACTTTGGTAGGGGAGGGAGGAGGGTTGGGGGGTCAGGGGGAGAATGGGATGGGAAGGGGAAACAAAAGAGGAGGCTACAATGCTTGATAAGAAATGTACTCATTATCTTTCCCATGTAATTGTAACCCCTCTGTACAGCATTTTCACAATAAAAAAAAAAGAAAAAAAAGAAATTTGAACTCAGGTAATGCTGCTGTGGGCATGGCAAAAATAAATAAATAAAAGCAAAAAATAAAAAAAAAAAACCCTTGTCTCTAAAATAACGCCTGGCCCCCAAACCCTTTCTATTAAAGCAAACCATTTACTCATCTCATTTTTTTCTACTGCTAATTCCTATTGTAGAGTAGAGTAAGGAAGGTTGGAAATATATAAGAAAAATAGCTGCTCTTTTCTCTGATCACAATGACTTTAAACAGCTCTTTAGGTCTCCCAATATCACACACGAAGCACATTCACTTCATCTACAGAAACACTGATTAATATTGTTTCGTTTAAAATCGTTTAAATAAGGATACAGGTGGACCCATTGCAACAATGAGATATACAAGTTGTTATGTCGCAAATGAACTTCACAACTTTGGAGGGGGGAGGTAGGAGGGTTGGGGGGGGGTGGGGGGAGGATGGGATGGGAAGGGGAAACAAAGGAGGAGGCTACAATGCTTGATAAGAAATGTACTCATTATCTTGCCCATATAATTGTAACCCCTCTGTGCAGTATTTTCACAATAAAAAAAGAGGTAATAACTTTTTTAAGATAAAATATATATTTTTTGTTTAAATCTGGAAACAGAAAGACTCAGCCATTGGTAAACATCAATTAAGAGAATTCATAAATGCAGAGACAAATGGTAATTTGTTTTTTAAAAGTCTCACATTTAAAATCCCTTGATTTTTCTCCAGCCAATTTCTCCATATTTCCTATAAAGTTTCCATATTTCCTTCTGTTTTTCATTAACAACAACAATTGTAGAAATAGTTGTCCTACCTGAACCATCACACGCAGATTTTATTAAAATAAATGTTCTGTGCCCTGGGCCCAGAAGCCTAAAGAGTACCAATGAGTTTTTGAAAAACATGAATACAGCATAAACACCCCATTAACATTAAAAGTAAAAACATATTTCCAAATCCCACACTTGTTTTACCACAATATTAAATATATAAAACATAAAATTTACCACAAATTCATTTTAGCTCTTAAAGCCATAAATTGCCCACAAATTTACAAAGCAAACCTTAAAATTTATAAAAATTAAATGTGAAATATTAAGAAAACCAGTGATGGTATATTTTGACAATACTGTTACTTCTCAAAACTGGAATATGGCACTTCTATTTT